ACAATATGTACAAATGTATCCATTATCTTATAAAAAATAAGAAATAAAAGATTAAGAAGTACAAAGAGAGCAGTTAGAGCAGTTATTGTCATCTAATAGCATGCTAAGATCCACTTTTCTGATGTTATATTTGAAGGAGGACAACGTGGAAGCTTTTTTCACGTTACCAGGAACAGAACTCCATACCTTTGGGCCCATATACCTGAGCGAGTGTTTTCCAAAGGAGACTGTGTTGAATCTGGGTATAGTGAAGTCATGATTGCGCAGTTCATACTTAATTACAGGCTGTTCAAAGAGACTCAGTGCTAACGTATGTTGGGCACATGTTGTTTTTAACTTTGTTCATGAGAATAGCTATGTCCTGTAGTCGCCGGTTGTGTAGAGTAGATAGCCCAGCCATAGATAGTAATTGACCATAGGCGGGCGCGGATCCATACCGGTTTCCACCGTTTTACGGAAATCGGTCAGATATTTCATAACAGATATATTTTTAGTATAAACTAAAATCCAAAACATTACCCGGGGGAGCATTCCCCCAGACCTCCCTAGAACAGGAAATCGGTCAGTATTTATTCTAGATCCGCGCCTGATAGGACGAATGTTTATCACAATATATAGCCCTAAGTGCTCTTTCCTGGATACGCTCTAGAACTACGCCTTGACGCCACAAATATGGACCAGTTATCGAATCACAAGTTACTGGGTTTAATCGTTGATAAAGATCTTAGCTTTGAAGCACACATAGATGAATTATGGAAGAAACTGTCAAAACGACTTGGACTTTTGAGGCATATTAGTCCTTATCTCAAGCAAAGACACAAGTTAACTTTCTATCTTGCCACCTTAAAGCCAGTTATGCTTTACCTAAATCCAAACTGGTCTTCGTGTAATAAAGAATTAACTATGTTTAATGAACTTAACTGGGTTCCATTTTTTTATCGAAGCATATATAAGTAGATGTTCTAAAGGCATTTAAGAGAATAGAGGGTACAACTCCAGATTATATTAATTCTATATTAAAGACAAATTCTGAGATTCATAACCGATCCACTCATTTTGCAAATTTGAATTTTCATTGTCCTGTCTTTAAGAAAAACACAGAAGGAGGCCGGACCTTTAGCGTGCGAACTATTGGAAATTGGAACAAAATGTCCATGGACGAAAAGAAGGTGAAAAATGTGAAATCTTTTAAAAAGAACTTGAATACGAATTTGATCGCTAGCAAAAAGAGACAGGTAATTTAGAATATCTTTGAAATAATTTTTAAATAGTTTTGAATATCTTTTAAATATTAATAAGTCTGTAATTAAAAGTTACTTGTTTTAGATAGTTGATAGTTTTTAATAGTTAAAATTTCTAAATAAGACCCTAGATAGTTTTCTAAAGACTATTTTTGCTTGTTTCTAAATTGCGTCTATTAATGTTAATTTTTATATTTTTATAGTGATAGTGTAAAATTAAGTTTCTTGATAACTGTCACGTGTTTACCCTCTTAAAATAAAGGCGTTACCTTACCTTACCTTACCTAGAGGGGGGGGGGGGGGGAGTTACCTTACCTTACCTTACCTAGAGGGGGGGGGGGGTGTAAAACCAGAGGGGAGCACCATGTAAAATCATAGCCCAGAGGAGGGAGCAAAACGTAAATTTTTCTTTCAAGAAGGGGGATGGTATCAAGCCTTGGTTGGTATCTATTTTCTTGTGGGCAAGCTGTCTCACTGAAAATAATACTGGTTTCATTCTGGTGGTGATTTGAACAAAACTTGATTTATATGTGATCAAAATATAACAAAGAGCTAGCAATAATTAGTACTAAAGCCATGAATAATCCTGATTACATGATATTTAGCTAATTTCTACCTAACAGCACAGAGGTGTATCCAGGATTTGGAAAAGGGGGTGTCGCGTTATGAGACAAAAGTGACCAACAGATGTTGTGTCTCCTCTATAGCAATTCCAGACGTAGTTAATTCAAAGAAATCAAAATCGGAAATCAATCGATTTTATCCGCCGATTGATATCGATTGATGTTGGAAATCAATAGAAATCGAAGTCGCAGGAAAAATAATTTATCGATTATTATCGATTAACAAAAATCGATAACAATCGATAGCAATCGATAACAAGCAATAATCATAAAGTGAATATTCTGAACATGACGATGCTATATGGCAAGCAACACCCATTAAGCTTAACACATTTCTGTTTTGACTTCAGTAAACTACAACCCGCAGCAAAACATACCACGACTGAATGACTCAATAATACCGCACGGACAGCATTGTGTTAAAGTTGAACTTCTACCGAGTGACTTAAGTCTTTTCCGATAATAATCGATTGCAATCGATAACAATCGATAAATTAATCATTATCATTTTCCGTCGGAAATCGATATTAATCAAAGTCACAACTTTTTTCTATATCGATTTCCATCGATTGATATCGGAAATTGATATTCATCGATGATTGATATCGATTACTATCAATTGTTATCGATTAACTATCGATTTTTATCGATTAACTACTTCTGGAGTAATTATGTTTAAGTGTAAAGACATTTTCAGCCAAAAGGGAGGCGGCATACCGGGATGCCTCCCCTATTCGATCACGTGACAAACATGACGAAAACATTGTCAGTAACATAACGTCGTGGTTTGTAATCGCAGTGGCTGCGATAAGAACTAGACGGATTTTAGGAGAAAAAGCGGACTGCAAGCAGTCTAACAGCCTTCGTGATGCTAGCTCAGCTCTCTCCCCAAATACGTTAATACACTCCCGTAGTTCCCTCGAATACCATACCCGATTCCTCACCAAAATGGGCAAATTCAGACCAAAAAAGCTCCAAAACCCTACCCTTTGGGGCGGCACATATACCTTTATGGATTATATAAGGGAGTACCCCCACTCCCGGGATAAAAACATAGCAAGAACAGCAAGACGAAAAGTCCACGGACGACATCTGCTATTTGGAGTATATTTGCAGATCTTGAACAGCTCAAATGGAAATTAAGTCTTGCGTGACTTTATTTAGCGGACATGTTCATTAATTAGCTGCAAACTAAATTAAATAGTTTTTCATATGGGCGAGAGGAAAGGCTGAGAGAAAATGGCGTAACACTAATACCCCGCAGGACCTTCATTCTTTCAAGGTTGCACGTAATCACACTACATATCTCATGAACAGTGCACGTCGTGATTACTTTTCCAATCTTATCGCTGAGAACAGCTAGAATCAGAGAAAGTTACTTCGTACAACCAGTTAATTGCTATGCGAGCCGGCTGATGTCTCATTTACAGATCCCCTACCTCCAGATGATCTGGCCAATAATTTTGGCCACTATTTTGTACAGAAGATTGAACGTATCAATTACTCACTGGACGCCTTTCAGTCATCTGAGCCTCTTGATGACGATGACGATGCTTCCACAGATAACATGGGCACATGCGCAGACTGTGTTGATCCTGATGCGCGCGAATGTGCAGAGTTCCCAAACTTCAAGACCTTGACACAAGACCAAGTTTCTTCGATTATTGGAAAGGCAGCCATGAAACCTTGTCCTTTCGATCCTGCACGTACATCTGTGGTTCTACAGGTTCTTGATGTGCTGTTACCGGTAATCACTTGTATGATCAACGTATCGTTTGAATCTGGTCTGTTCGCAGAGGAATTGAGGCAGGCCCTCGTATTACCCACGTTGAAGAAGAGTGGTGTAGACATCTCGTACAAAACCTTTCGCCCAGTGAGCAATCTCCCGTATGTCTCCAAGTGATCAACGGTCTGACCTTGAGCTCCAGTCGGCCTACAAGAAACACCATAGTACTGAGTCAGCGCTGTTAAAAGTTAAGAACGATATTTTATTGAATACGGATGCGCAGAAGGTGACCTTACTGGTTCTTTTAGATCTCAGCGCAGCTTTTGATACTGTATGCCGCGACATCTTGTTGGATCGGTTGAGGTTAATTAAAACTTGGTGTGACTGACCAGGCACTCAACTGGTTTACATCGTACCTCTACGACCGTACACAGCGTGTTGCAGTTAATGGAGGGCTGTTAGATACCTTTCGCTCGCGCAAGGGGTGCCGCAAGGGTTTTGTCTTGGCCCTCTTCTGTTCACAGTATATACCAGCGAACTATTCGAGATAGTGGGTCGACAGTTGCCAAACGTGCACTCTTACGCCGATGATACGCAATTGTAATTGGCATTCAGTCCAAACGTGCAAGGTGATGACGCTAGTGCGGTAAAGGCTATGCGTGATTGCATCATGGATTTAAGGCAATAGAAGATTAGAGACTGACTTATGTTAAATGATGATAACACTTAGTTTTTGCTCCTTTAATTGGTACCAGGCAACAGTAGCAAAGGTTGACATTAGAAGTAATACTGTTGGTGAGTCTGTTGTGAACGCAGAGCCAGTTGTCAGGAATCTGGGTTCCTGGTTTGATTCTCAACTTAGTACGTCTACTCATATTAGCTTCTTTCATCTACATAACATCAGTCGTATTCGCAAGTTCCTAAGCCCGAGGAAACTAAGACCTTAGTGCATTCATTAGTCACTTCTCGCGTTGACTTTTGTATGGTCTACCTGCCTCACAGCTTAACAGGTTCAGCGTGTTTTAAACACTACAGCAAGGCTTGTTTGCTGCGCAACGCGCTTCAGCCATATTACACCATTGATGTATGAGCTACATGGGTTTCCGTTAAAGCAGCGCATTCATTTTAAGATTTTGTTATTTGCATTCAAGACTATCCATGGAATAGCCCCTACATACATTCGGAAGTTAGTTTCCTTGAAATCGCAAGTCGCATATAACCTCAGATCGTCTGGTGGGATTTTGCTAGCATTGCCAACATTTAGAACTAAGGTCACACTAGGCGATAGGTCTTTCCAGGTGGCTGCGCCCAAGTTAGGGAATGTTCTACAGCGCGAGCTTTGCGAGATTCCGGACTTGCATAAGAGCCATCTTAAAACGCACCGTTTAAAGTTTGCTTATAGTTTAAACTGTTAAATGAATGATAATTGTTACATATCGTCGGATATTTTAGATTTTTATTGTAGAATTGTATATATTCTTATTGTTTTTCGCATTGTAAATAGGGTTTTTTTATGCTTTTATTACCAATGTAATGCGCATTTTATCATTTTTATGAATACCTGCACAATATAAGCTATTAAATTATTATTGTTATCATTATTTAAATTCAAAAAGTATTCATAACTCGTTTTGAAGAAATTTCCCAACAATAGCTAACCAAATGCTTTCAAAAGTTTCATTGATCGGCAAGAAAACGCGACGGCCGTTCGGTCATTTGCGCGCCAAAATTGTAATCGTTGGCAGCTGTGAATGGCTTAAAAACATCATTTTTGTGCTCAATTATCTCACTATTTTAGTATATACCAAAATCCATGGCCACTTTAGGGAATAATTTTTATTTAGTATTTGCCAAATCAGAGCATAGCAATTTTCGCGCGTTTTCATAGGCTCCCGTTACTTGGAATATCCTTGGCTATTCACTGTTTTGCGACCGGAGCCAAGATGGCGTCTCGTTTCGAGGCGATTTTCGGAAGACGAAATTTGAGCGGTAAATGAAGCAGTCGTACAAACAAATACCAAGGAAGCGACGAACTTTGGCTTGTTGGTGTTAACTGGTAGAGAAAAATATTTTAATGAAGAATTTGCAACGAAATCGTAGAAATGCACTTGACAAAATCCTGAAATGTTTGAAAATTGGAAACAAAGTTCCTACTAAGTGATGTTTTTTAATTAACAAAAAGTTACTTTTTTCATTTTTATCCCCCTGATTTGCTAAATACTAAAACAACTATCCCCCTCGGGGTCGGCGAACTGCACTAGATATATATCCACCACTATTCACCTCCCCTTCGAGGGATAGTTGTATACTGTTCATCACATTCTTAAAATATCCCATAGGCAAATGTCTTGACGAAAGTCTACGGAGATGTAAGGCGTTAAGAATGAGTGATAAAACTACAGTTGAACCTCTCCACAACGGCCACCTTGGGGACAGAAGAACTGCAAGTGGCCGTTGTAGAGAGGTGGCCGGAGTTTCGACTGTATTTAACTTTTGAAGTGGCCTTAAGATTAGTAAAATTGAGTAGTTTGAAAGTGATTTGATGAAAACTAACGAAGAGATAATTCACCCAAGTCGCAAAAGTTTACAGACGTTTGTGTGGTAAAAACGTCTGTAAATTTTCGCAACTTTGCAGAGCTCTATCTTCGCTCTCTTACGACGTATCACTTTCAAATTTGGCAATTTTATTAACACTAAGGCGCTCTCTCTAGTGGTGTTGACGGATTTTCCCAAACTTGTCCATGTCAAAAGTTGAAAAGACCATGAAAAGGTCTATTCGGCTTTCGTATGATGAGAAGAATTATGCAGATATCGGAGGCTGTTATCTACCTCGGGTTTCCTATAACACCCTCCTCGATCTGCATAATTCTTTTTAGTATATACTAAAACAGTGGATAGTGTTTTTCGCGCGCTCTGATTGGCTACTCAATCAGTGAATATCCTGCACTATTCACTGATTCACCTCCAGTATCTCCTCCGAGCGAGCGACGCCAAACTCGCGTAAGTTGCGAGTAAAATGCCTTCCCAGTTTGCTGCCGTAAACAAACAAAGAAATTTCACAACTAATCAAGCAAGCTGTTTCCGAAATACACGAAGAAGGTGACGAAGTTCGGATTGGAAGTTTTAA